GGTCTCAGGGTCCCCAGGTCGCGGGCTCGCCACCCGGAGGGGCGGGGGCGGGATGCCCGCCTCTCCCCGGGTGCGGGTCGCGGGGCACCTGGGCCTCATTCTGGAGGAAACTTTGAACTTTTCTTTTTGTTTTTTTGTTAATATGTCTTTATTGATTTCAGAGAGAAGGAAGGAGAGGGAGGGAGAGAGAGAAACATCAATGATGAGAGTCATTGATCGAGCCCGCAACCCGGGCCTGCGCCCTGACCGGGAATCGAACCCGATCGCCTGGATCCCAGGTGGACGCTCAGCCGGAGCCCCGCCGGGCTGGAGGAAACTAAATGAGAGCACCTGGGCCGGGAAGCGGGCCCTCTCCAGCCAAACCGGACCGTGGCGGGGGTCCCGCTCACCGTCACCCCCGAGCTGGGGTCGGAGCGGGGAGTGAAGGGTGGGATGTCCTCGTGCCCACGCCTGATGGGGGCTGTGGATGGGGTCCACGCTGCCATCCCCGCTGCCGATACTGGGGTGGGGGTGGGGTCTTACTGGGCGCGTTCTTCCGGACCCTAGAAACGCCGCCCCCCTGCGTGGGGCTGTGAAGTCTGGGTGAGGGTCCCCGCTTCAGTGCCCCGCCCCTCTGTCCAGGCTGTCTCCCCCTTGCCCCTGCCCTTCCCCGCGGGGCCCCCTGCAGGCCGGGCGCTGCCCCTGCCGCTGCCCCTCCAAGGCCTGCGTGCCCCCGCCCCTGCTCAGGCAGCCCCGCGTTCAGGTTTGAGGCGGGGCGTCCCACAGACAGCACATGCGCTTCCCTTTCCCAGGACCTGGTTCCCAGGCGTTTAAGGTCCGGCAGCGCTCCCAAGGCCAGAGCCCCCCCCAGGGCTCCCTGGGACCGCCTTGCCCTTCCACGTGGGAGGCCCCACGCGTGAGGCCCTGGGCTGCCTGGTTTGCACAGCAGTTTGGGCTGCAGGGGCTGCTCCCTCAGTCCTGGGCCCCCCAACTTGCCCCCTCCTGGGCCCTGCCACCTCATCCCATCCAAGAGGACCCATCCTTCCCAGTCCTGTACCTGAGAAGGGAGCACACGCATGGACACTGCCCACTCCAGCGGGCCTTGGAAGTGCGGGCCCATCACCCTATGGCCTGAAGCCCGGGCCTCACCTGGTCCCACCCCAGAGCCAGGCCCTCACCTGCTCACTACCTGCAGCCTAGGCCCTCACCTGGCCTGGCTCAGGGAGCTCTAAGAGGCACTATGGTAATTAGTCTTTTCCAAGACCGCAGTCAGCCCCCTCCTCTGCCTCTTGGCTCCTCTGTACAGCTGGGAGCAAAGTTAATTGACATGAAATTGTATGCAAAATTCAATTTGTTCTCACAGACCTGATTCAGCCCTGTAAATCAGCAGAGCCAGCTGCTCCTTTGGGGCTCAAACACACTCTCTGCTTGTAATCTGGCTAACAGGCCAGCCCCTGATGCCACATCTGGGAACCAGCTGTTTGTTCCACCCTGGCAAGAGACTGGCTGGTTCCCACCTTCCCAGTATCCAGGTGATTGCACCTTAGTGTATTTGGGATACTTGGCCGTCTTCCCTGGATGCAGTCTTGGTGGGAGGGAGGCAGCTCACTGAGGTGCCCCTCCTCCCCTAGCCAAGGAATGGGCAGGTATATTGGCTCCGGCAACAATAATGCTGTGTAATGAGCAGCCCCCAGAATCCCTGTGACAACACCACATTTTTTCTCTTGGTGATGGGCCGCAGGGTGACTGAGGGGCCCTGCTTCAGGCTGTGCGTCAGGTTCGGATCTGTTCCAAGGGTCTCTCAGGGACCCAGGCCACGTGGGGCATGCTCTTCATAAAACCCCACAGACACAAGGCCAGCCTCAGCTTCAGGCCTCACATTATCTGCTCACATCCTGCCAGAAGCAAGGACCAAAGTTGATGCCTCCCACTCCAGCCGGGTGGGGGTGGCAAAGTCACGTGGCAGGGGCCAGTGTGTGTGGTCCTGCTCTAAAGAGGAAGTAGGGATTGGGGACTATATTCCCATTTGTCACAGCAGGTGTCCCAGGCTATGCCAATCTGATGGCCTGTTCCTGGAATTAGTCTTTTTTTTTTTCTTAATAAGATGTTTTCTTTTAAATTGATTTGAGAGAGACAGAGAGAGAGAGAGAGGAAGGGAGAGAGAGAAGCATTGATTTTTTTCTGCTCCACTTAGTGATGCACTCAGTGGGTGCTTCTCGTATGTGCCCTGACCTGGGTCAAGCCTGCAACTGTGGTGTATCGGAATGATGCTCCCACCAACTGAGCTGCACCGGCCACATTTATAACTCTCAGGACCCGCACAGAAGCCGTTTTCTGGTCCTTCAGAGGTCACACGAGGTCTCGAGTCTCAGGTTAATTCGGGTCAACATTATTACCAAGCACCCTGTGCTGGGCTCTCTGTGGGAGACATGACACCATCCCTGCTTAAGGCACAGTCTCTATTTCAAAGATTCCGAACCTGATCTGAGTGAATTCTGCTGCGAGCTCACCTGTTTGGCAGGTGGATGGTCACGGGTCAAGGCATTTGAGACCTCCATACGGCCTCTCCCCTGCCACAGTCCCCACCATGCCCTACCCCCTTCCACCCATGGGCTTCACTCATCTGTCACCTGCCTATCTCCACAGGTACCTGTGGCACCTGGGTTTCCTTATGTACCTATTCTGGTTACCCTTTAGGACTCGTTACGGATATTTCCAGAGAATTCCCCAAACGATGACTTAGCCTGGCCTGAGCTGACCTTTCGAGATTCAAGCTGAACATGGTCATTCCAGATGCAGGCTGTGGAGCCTTCATGCTGGAGGTGGGTGCCCCCTGGAGGTGCGCACAACCTGTGTGGTATGCCTAGCGACCCAGGTCTGGAGGGGTCGGAGAGGCGGGCCAGCTCTGGGACCTGGCACCGCGGCTGTGAGCAAGCTCCAGCCCCCCAGGGCCAGGTGGTCCTCTCCCAGCTACCTCACTTACCATCTGCCCTCAGGCGCAATGGAGGCTCATGGGAATGATGGGGGCCCTTCCTGACTCGAAAGACCTAAACCCAACCCCACGGATGTAGGTGTGGCTGACACGCCCAGGTCTCCCTGGCTGTGAACTCAGGTGGTCGCCTTTGCTGAACATTTGTGCAGCCCGGGAGCTGGTCTCAGGTTACCTCCTGTAGCTGAACCAACCTGGGGAGGGAGATGGGCACCCACTGGCTAGGCAGATCTGGCTCACATTTTGGCCAGGTTTGGCCAAGGTAAGGGTGGGGCCCCTGAGAGAGTACTCACAGGGGGCAGGTGCTCCACAAAACAAGCTGAGGTGCTGCCAGCATTAGGGAGAGGGAGGTGGGCAGGCAGAAAGATCCCCTCTCCTCCCCAAGGGACTGCTGGGGGCCCCTACAGGTTGGGGTGGAGGCCTCGAGCTGTCTGCCCCTCCCAGGGAAGGCTTCTGGCTTTTCTACTAAGGCTGCCGGCAGCAGGTCCCCTGTCGCGTGTGACCTCTGAGCTCTGGGCCAGCAGCCCAGCTGGGGGGCCCCTGGGGAGCGGGTGGATAGGCTGCCAGGCGGCCCACGTGCTTCAGGCTTTTCCATGGCAACAGCTGGGCCAGCGGCTGGCTCAGCAGCCACTTCAGGAGCCTCTCAAGGAGGCGAGGCCGAGTCCTGCATCCCGAGAAGGAAGGAGCCAGGCTTGGAGAGGGAGATGTATTGCTCGTGCAGTTATGACCCTGCCAGGATGTGTCACTGATGCCCGGGGTTCTCCCAGGCCTGAGGTTTTGTGGGTGAATGACCACAAACGCTGTTCATGCAGCAGTCTTGGCCTCAGTTTCCGCATCTGTGGAACAGGAATACTCGTGCCCATGCCGTTGGTTTGTTGGAAATCACAGGTTTAAATGAGACGGAATCAGTCCGGCACCCTCCGACCGGGCACTTTGAAAAAAAGACACAGGCGCCAAGAGACATGCCTCCGGAGAAATGTTAGGAGATGATCTTCAGGCAGATGGGGAGTAACTTAGGTCAGAGACTCGGTCTAAAGAAAGGAAGAGTTTAGAGGAGGGATAAAGGATGACAGAATAAAATCTTTTGCTTGGCTGATGGAACAGATACGTTTCTCCAAAATGATACAATGTATCCGGAGACATAGCTTACGGATAAGTGAAGAGCCCGGCACTGTTGCAGGCGCCCAGGGGTTAGTCAATTCCTGGTAAGGTGCCGGCCCTGCCCCTGGCCCTGGCCCTGGCCCTGGCCCTGTGGCGTTAGTGAAGGTGGACTTGGGTTAGTGCTGAACGTGAGCCGCAACCTCTCGGGCGACCCTGAGAAAGTTTCACAAGGAGTACAATTGATACACTGGAAAGGGACAGGGGTACGTTTGGGGCGTGGGGACAACACAGGTGGAACAGTGCTTGGAGCCGGTGCAGGAGGGAGCCTGGTCGGTGGCCGATGCCGTCACTCACTCATCCATCCACCCACCCATCCATCCATCAGGCAAGTGTTGACTGTGGGCCTGACACACAGCAGCTTCCGGGCTCGGAGGAAGGAAGTGACCCGAACCTCTATTCCTAAGAAGGCCCAGAAGGACACATTGGAGGGAAATATAGGGCCTCCTGCTAAGGCCTCATAAGGACAGGGACACTGGGAGCCTTTGTAGGGTGTCATGACGGGGTCAGGCAGGGCTGGGGTGCAGACCCCCAGGAGCTCACAGGCCTCAGCATCCTGGGGTCCAGAGCGGGAGGTTGGGGTGGGAAGTGTTGGGGCCCTGGCCTCTCCTTGGGCAGGGCAGTGCCCTCCACACAGGCAGCATGGCCCCGGTGGCCTGGGTTCTGCTGGCCGGTTCGCCCTAGAGCCCTAGACAGGCTGAGTCTCGCTGCCCTTCAAACTGTACATTTTCCTCATTTGTTCAGATTTAATTAAGTGGGGTGGGAAGAGACAGGTTTTCTTTTTCTAACATTTCCTTTTTTGGCCAACATTTTATTATAAAAACTTTTCAAACACATGGGGAAGATGGAACAATGTACCAGTGCAGGCCGTGTCCCCACCACGCAGACCCCCCCCATACGCACACTGACCGTCTGCCTTCCATCCGGTTCCCAACAGCTGGCGTCTGGGTAGTCAGCTGGGGCGGCCGGACAGATGACTACAAACTGGGGAGCAGCAGCCTGTTCCTGCCCTTCCGCCCCCTGCCGACATCCTGGGCGTCCCTGGGCCTGTGGCCGCCTGGCTCGCCTCTGCTTCCACAGTCCCGTCACCCCCTCTGTGTGTTGTGTTCCCTTCTCACCTCTCGTAAGGACATAATTGCACACAGAGTTCTTTGTCTAGACGAGGTCACAGGAGCAGGTTCCCGATGGCCATGTCTTTTGGGGGGACCACCAAGTAGTAAACGAGATCCGGGACTCAGGAGGAGGGCAGCCCCTTGGCCCAGCATCCATCTGAGCTGACCTGGGCCATCCAACATGCTTGGCGTCTCCTAGTTCATTCATTCCTGGGCTGAGGGGCTCCTCCCGAATCTCGAACCTCCC